GAGTGTGCAGCATGACAGAGGAGCTGACAGAGAGCAGAGCTATGACAAGAGTTGTCTTTTGGTCAGAAGTCATGAAGGGAAAGATCATAACATTTGAAGTAAAATTGTAATTAAATTGTTTCAAAGGAAAAAAAAATAACAAATTGATTAAATATTTAATAAAATCACATCTTTATGAGAGATTTCACACAGATTACAATCAACCAGCATTCTTTATTGACCCTTTTTTCTCAAGGGTGTTCTTTGGTCTATGAATAACATTTTCAAAAGTAAAACATTCACTGTCAAAATGTTAACACGTTTTAAGATGTGCAGAGGAAAATTCTATCTGAGCACTCAGTTTTGTTTCAGCAGTGAAAGATTATTTCCTTATAAAATGAGTTTGTAACTAATGATCTATGCTTCATAATAGGACACATGAGCACCAAGTCAGCATGCTACAGAGATTTGAGAGTGCAAGTGAACACATCATACTGCAATCCCAGATCTAGACCAGCTACTGGAGCAATGCCTTGCAACACCCAACCATGTCCTGCCAGGTCAGTGCAGTTTGAAGTTTTCTACATATTAATCCCATACCGTTAATGCTGTTACAATTTTATATTATACACCATGGATGTTTGTCTGCCATGTTAAAGGCAAAAGAAAGCAGACTGTCTGTCAAATAGTCTGTTACGTTGGTGAAAAGTGTAAAATCTCAGGTCCCTGTCATATATTTGATGAATCTTGAAGATGTCCTCTGTTTACTTATGTGAACCGATGGCAGCACCTTTGGTTGGAGTGGTGTGCTGCGCATGTCAAACCCCCCAATGTTAAATTTACATACCTACTCTGTTCTGTGACTTCATTCATTTCCAACACAGAGGTGTAAGAACAGTGGATCAACTTTGACTCTGTATTCCACTTCTATACTTTGACACAGCACCAAAACATGATAAAACAGTGGCAGACTTGAGAGTTGATGTGTGAAAACCTATTATTGTTCCACTTGCGTTGCACAAATCAATGCTGAAAAGATGAATTATCTTCATGTTTCTTTAAAAAAACTTTCATCAGCTGAACATGCCTTGATTTTCATATCTTCTCTTTCAAGCAACGCCATCAGTTGAAAACAATTTTATTGGGTTTTTGTCAGTAAACACTGTGGTTTTATTTTTATTTTATGTTTGCAGTTTTGGAGATTAGTGTTTTTTAAGCAGATTGTCCTGAGCCTGGTTCTGCTGGAGGTTTCTTGCTCATGAGGAAGTTTTTCCTTTCCACTGTCGCCTTCATGCTTGCTTAAGATGAGAGTTTTGCGATGGAGTTAAACTCAAAGCAGTCTGCCCCTCAGATATATAATCTTGTTAACTTACATTTTATGTACATGAATGTTTCTGTACAGTGCCCTGAGATGACTTCTGTTGTAACTTGGTGCTATATAAATAAACTGAATTGAATTGAACTGGACTGGAATTGAACAAAGAACTCAGGTAAACATTATTGTTTTTGGTGCAAGATATTCAAGTGGGTAGGAGTTACGCTGTGGAGAAGAACAGGATGTGCGTGGAGAAGAACAGGATGTGCGTAGAGAAGAACAGGATGTGCGTAGAGAAGAACAGGATGTGCGTAGAGAAGAACAGGATGTGCGTAGAGAAGAACAGAGTTTGTGTGTGGAGAAGAACAGATGGGGGGGGGGGGGGTTATTTATTTGTTTGTTTGTTAGTTTGTTTATTTATTTATTTATTTGCCTGTGATGGACTTGCGACCTGTCCAGGGTGTACCCCACCTCTCGCTCAATGATAGCTGGACATGGGCGCAAGTGACCCCCGTGACTCAAAAAGACAGAAGCGGGTAAAAGATAATGGATGGATGGACGGATTTATTTCTTTATTAATTATATTCAAGGCAGTACAGAATGATCGATTATGGCGAGTGGAAGGAGAAATTATATCCACAACCATGTGCAATGGTGGAGCTAGGCTAGGGGCTGGCCATTGAAGTATCTTCAGCCACCCTGCAGCCCACCCCAATTATTTGAGGAAACTATGCTTTTAAGCAATATAAAAGCTAAAAAGCACAGCGTCCTCAAATGATTGAGGTGGTCGGCTTACATACAGTATATATTTGGTGGCAGCCATCTTGGATTTTGATTTGTTGACCCAATTTTTGATTATTTATGTCCTTTTGTTACACCTAGTTGTAGCCACACACCAAAATGGAAGTCAGTACCTCACTTATTTTTCAAGTTATCATGCTCATAACATGACTGTACAGATAGACGAATAAAGGGTATTTCCAGTTCCCCCTTTTCACTTTCTTCCCTTTCAGGAAGACAGCCCAGAAGCCTAAAGCGTAGATGAGACCAGTGAAGAGATCAGAACATTGGCAAACATCAGTGATGAAGGCAGAACCTTCTCTGTAAGTTGAGCAGAATTTCATGGCCCAAAGGCAAAACTCCCAGAAGGCATGAAACCTGTGCTGCAGGGCACCAGGCAGCCTCAGAGTAGGTAGATGGATGCTCCACAGGCTACAGGTCAACTAGGACTCCAATGCTAGGACAAGGACATTCACTGCAACAGTGGGCCCTGCAAAATTTGGTAAGGAGTTTAAAGGACATAGTAAGTACCATGAGAAGTTAACTTGACCTTTAAACTTCCCAGATACTAATCTGATGAAACCTGATGACATACGTACATGAAGCAAACACAACACAGAGAATATCTCTCAGCTCACTGAACAAAAAGGATATTTTGCTAAAAACAAAAAATAACCAAACACCCCAGGACATCTCCAACAGATCTTTATGAATGTCCTGCATGTTCAGAGCTGTTTCTTTAGCAACAGGGGAGTCTACTCAGTATTGGAAAACTGTTGGTAAATGCATTTTTCTTGAGCTGAGTAATGACTATAGAGTGGAGGGATGACAACGTCTAAAAAATGTCCTAGAACATGTGAAATTTAGGGCTGGGTTATAGAAAGAACAACTGGAGGTGATTCGATCTGACCAACTCAGCTGACTTTGATACAACAAGACTGTTTTAATGACAGTCTTAGAGCAGACTATATGTTTTCAGATCTTTTCAGGCTTTAAAATAGTAAGAAAAAAATCGGAGTAAAGTAGTCAGAGCACACAAAATGCAAAATCCAGTACAAGGGATGCTTTAAATGTCATAATTATAAAGAATAATTAAATAAGGGAAGTATAAATACACAAAAACACATAGTTGGGAAAACTATTTAAGTGATAACGATCATGTAATTGCACGGGGAATTAAGAAATCTATCATAAGTGCACACAATTAAAACATTTTAAAATAAAACATGACAGCTTTGCTACATGTTTTGATATATTAATATTATGTGGTTAAACTATCAGTTCATTAAACTCAATTTAACTTTACCATTGCATGAAGTTTCTGTATTTTGTGCATGACTTCATTGATATATAAGCCCTAAGGTTTTTATTGGCTCTCAGTCTGAATTTCACTAAAAATAGTATTTGAATTGTTCTGGCATGCGCTCATATTTTCCTGAAAACATTTTGGATACAAAGTGATTAGTTTGGTCCCTCTAGACTTCAGGTTGGCCTGGAACAACCATTTAATGTTCTGTAAACTGTGTGATAACCTAATTTGTAACAGTTTAATATTTGCATGCACATTTTCATTGTTGGAATCTGAGGAGCCTGTTGATCAGTTTTGTGGTAAAATAACTGGAATCAAGTTTCTAGCACAACATGCAAGGGAAATTCTTTCTGATAATGGAAAAATTTTGGATACATGCAGATTATGCATACATGTGCTACATGTGGACAATGTTGTTTGGTTAATAGACTTGCACAGAGTGCAGTCTAAAGATGGGTAAGACATGTAGACACATGATGTCACCAATAAACTCTGTGTCATCAGGGTCCCTGGATGGTTTTCAATCTTCATACACTATGGCAGATGTCATGGGGTACTGTAACACTTGGCACACCGTACAATGATCCTCCCTTAATGTGGTATGTTTTGAGTGACTGGAACCTACACAGCAAGTGTGGGTGCCCTCTCACATACATTAGATCCAACATCAGGCCACTGTAACATCTGTACAGCCCACATGCCAGGCAGTGGAACGATACATCCATCAGTCCTCCTGAATACTAAGTATGTCCTGATGTAAATGGAATGGTAAATGGACTGTACTTATATAGCGCCTTTCTATCTTATCAAGATACTCAAAGTGCTTTACAACACAATGTGTGCCCTCATTTACCCATTCATACAACACTCTACTAGATCTATATAAAGAATAATAAGATAAGATAAGAATCAGTGCTTTATCACGTTCATACACCGATGGGACACACATCAGAGGCAATGAGGGGTTCAGTGTCTTGCTCAGGGACACTTCGGCATGTGACTGCTGGTGGAACCAAACCCCCAACTCTTGCATTGTAGGACGACTGCTCTAACCACTCAGCCACATGCGCCCCCCACTGTGATGTGATGTATAAAACCCTTTCGAGCACTGTTAATGCTTAATCTTATCAAGAAGTTTTGCATCTAATTGTGCTAGTTCCATTCTAGCACAATGAAAAATTAAATCAGTGGTGGGATTGTAAATGAAACCATTTATGTACACATAACTGATCTGCATATGGACCAAAGTATGTCCAAGTTGGAATCCAAAGTATTTACCTTTTGTCAGCGTTTATTAGCAGTAACATGGATCTCCATGCAGATATGGTGCTAGCAGACAAAATATTGCCATCAATACATGCCTTATGGTTTTCCCTTTTTATTTACTTGACTCACTTATCTTACCAATGTTTTTCATTTGTTATTGAATATTCAACTTCATTACTTGCTTGTTTTATTACCTTTCCTGTTGTATTTTTATACCATTTTTATACTTTTTCTAATCAACCTAACTTGTGTGACAATCATATTGTTTCTTTAGGACTGTCTCTGTGTGTCTCCCACCTACTTAACTAAATGAAGTTATTCTTGTTATATAAATATTCATCTAGTTTAACCCCATTCTTTCTGACAGGTATGCATTGTTGGATGGCGTCACCTTCACAGCTGTAATTTCTTGACATGCAATGTCAAAATAGTTATTTATTGGCTGAATCAACTGTTCCAGTCTTCCCATATACTGTCTCTTGATAGCGGAGCAAATGAAAGGTGTCAGGCAGAACTGACTGTATTCTCTACCCTTTTCCAGACCATTGAAGCACCTGTTCTGGGATTACAGCATTTTTCCTTTTTCTTGTAAAAAAAATAACACATTCTGGCCAAAAAATGTGAGTGAGATGAATGATCGAAAACTTTCATTTGACATTTTGTTTGCGCTATTGTCCGTTCCAACATGATACCTCATCCACTGTCAGCAATACTTATGTTCAGCTTTTGGTTGAAACTGTAGGCCAAGGACTTCTAACTCTTGTCACATGGTGCATCATCAAAATGAACTGCAAACCCACAAAAAAACACTTTGGCCTTCTCATCATTTTAGATATGTGTGGCAATGTTTGATTGCAGATTGCAGGCAGTTCATCTTAATGCTGCATGTG